CCCCGCTGCTGAGAGGTGTGTATCCCGCCATGCATAGATCTGTGGCCTGCAGCAGCTGGAGGGGCAGAGTGGAATAGGGGCTCTGCAGACCTACGGGGCAGGGATTTGGCAGGCCAACTGTTCTTTTATTAGCTAGTGGTGTGGAGAATCCTTTCACTATCTAAGTGTTTAGAGTGCAGGTTTTTGGCTCTCCCTGGTCCTTTATCTCAGTCAGGTGTGTCTCCAGTTTCTCGGCAGGGTCTCTGGGCAGGAGCTCACGAGGTCTGCAGCTCTGTCTCTGTCGCAGTCTTGGAATGTCCTCTCTGCATCTATTGAGAGAACCATGTGACTTTACTTGTCATTCTGTTACTATGTAATACAACACATTTATTTATTTCATATGTTGAATCATTTTGGATCCTAGGGAGGAAACTATATCACCAGGGATATTGGCCCCTTCCCTCCCTCCCCCCTCCCTCCCTCTCCCTCCCCCTCCCTCCCTCTCCCTCCCTGCCCCTCCTCCCTCCCTGCCCCCTACCTTCCTTCTCTCCTTCCTTCCTTCCCTCCTTCCTTCCTTCCCTCCTTTCTTTCTTCCTTCCTTCCCTCCTTCCCTCCTTCCTTCCTTCCTCCCTCCCTCCCTTGTTTCCTCCCTCCCTCCCTCCTTTCCTCCTTCCTTCCTTCCTTTCTTTGATTTTATGCGACTCTTCTCTGAGGGTTAAAACCTCATTAACAGAGAGTTTGGAAGTCTTTCTATTCAATTTTTGGAAGAGTTCAAGAAGGGTTAGTGTCAGTTCTTCAAATGCTTGGTATAATTCACATATGAAGCCATCTAGTTCTGGAACTTTCTCTTTTAGGGCAGATTTGTGTGTGTGTTTGTGAGATTTTCTATTTTTTCATGTTTTTATTCTTGGTAGGTTGTGTGTTACTAGGATTTTATGCATTTTTCTAGATTATTCTATTTTTGGCATACAATTATTCATAGTTGTCTCTTCAGATTCTTTGCATTTTCAAGGTTTCTGTTGTAGTGTTGCCTCTTTCATTTAAGATTTTATTTATTGGGGTGTCTCTTTTTCTCTTGGCTATTCTAGCTAAAGATCTATTAATTTTGTTATTGCTTCATTGATCTTTTCCATTGTTTTTCTACGTTGTATTTTATCTGTTTTGGTTCTGATCTTCATTATTTCCTTTTTTCTGTTCACTTTAAGCTTAGTTTGATATTCTTTTTCTATTGCCTTGAAATGTAAAATTAGGAAGCTTATTTGAGATTTTTCTTTAACATAGGGATTTATTGTTATCACTTCCCACTTAGAACTGATTTTCAGATCCCATAAATTTTTATACATTACAGTTTCTTTTTTACTTGTTTCAAGATAATTTTACTATAAATTCCATTCCTTCTTATATACGCTTTCCAGGAGTGAGTTTAATTTCCACACATTTGTGGATTATCTAAAATTCCTTCTGTTATTGATTTCTAGTTTCATATCATTGTGGTTGCAAAAGATAGTTGATATGATGTCAATCTTTTAAAATTTATGGTGACATTTTTGTGGTTTAACAAATCATTTATTCTGATGGACATTCCATGTTCACTTGAGAAGGATGTATATTTTGCTGCTGTTGGAAGGAATGTTCTGTGCATGTCTGTTTAGTCCCTTTGATCTACAGTGTCAGTCAAGTCTGCTATCATTTATTAAGTTTATGTCTAGGTGATCTACTCATTGTGTAGAGTGGGGCATTGAAATCCCCTACAATTATTGCATTGCTATTTATTCATCTCTTTAGTTTTGTTAAGACTCTCTTCATATATTTTGAGGCCCTCATGTTAGTGTATTCAAATTTATAACAGTGGTATCTTTCTAATAAACCAATGCCTTTATCATTATATAGTGACTTCCTTTGTCTCCTCTGATAGGTTTTGACTGAGAATATAGTTTTTTCTGATGTAAATGTAGCTTCCCTGCCCTCTTTTAATTTCCATTTGGGTGGAATATCTTTTCTATCCACTCACTTTCAGTCAGTATGTTATTCTCACAGTTAAAGTGATTATCTTACAGGCAGTATCCATGTGGATCTCGTTTCCTTATCCATTCAATGACTCTGTGTCTTGATAGGAGAAATAATCCAGTTATACTCAAAATAATCATTGATAGGTAAAGACTTACCATTGCATGTTTTTGATTGTTGTGATTTGTGATTTGATAATTTTCTGTAGTAATGTACTTTTATTCCTTTATCTCTTGAGTATCTCCTAGAGATTTTTTCTTTGATTACCATGGAGTTTATATAAGATGTTTTATTAATTATCCTACTTTAAGGTGATAGCAACTTTCATTACATACAAAACCTCTACACTTTTACTACCTCCCTCCTATTTTATGCTATTGATGTTATATTTTATATAACATATTCAGCAACAAATTTTAGCTGTAGTTATTTTGAGTACCTTATCTTTCAACTTTTATTCTAGAGGAAATGTGATTCACGCACCATCATATCACACTACTAAAGTACTCTGAATCTGACTGTGTTTTTCCATCTTTGTACTTTAATGTGTTTCACATGGCTACTTAGCACTGCTTTGTTTCAACTTGAAACTCTGCTTTAGCATTTCCTGTATAGCAGGTTCAGTGAATTTGAGCTGTCTTAACTTTGTGTGGGAAAGTTTCTCCCTTCATTTCTGAATGTCAGCTTTGGTGGTTGTAGTGTTCTGGGTTCTCAGTTTTTGTTTTCTTTCAGCACTTTAAATATATCATACCCCTCTTTCCTGGCCTACAAGTATTCTGTAGAGAAGTCTGCTGATGGCCTTATGAAGGTTTTGTGCATATAACAAGTCTTTTTTTATTCTGATGCTCTCAAGAGCCCTTTAACTTTTGATTTCATTATGGTGTAATTTAGGATATTCTTTGGACTGAAGTTGCTTGGTGTCCTTTTAGGCTCATAAATCTAGATGTCTATATATCTCTTAGGATTTGGATAGTTTTTGGCCATTATGTGCTTAAATAAGCTGACTTTTCTCTCCAGTTCCTTCTAGAAGTCTCATAATTCAAGTATTTGTTTGGTTTATAGGGCCCCACAGGTCTTCTATGATGTTCTTACTCTTTCATTTTTTAAAAAAGTATGTTTCATTGATTGGTTATTTCCAAATGATCTTTCTTCCAATTCACTGATCCTTTTCTACATGTCTGAGTGTTTAGTTGAAGCTCAGTATGTAGTTTTCATTCTGTCATTGTGTTCTTTAGCTCTAGCATTTCTGTGTTTTCTAATGGCTTCTATTTTTTAAATTAAACTTCTGATTTTGTTCATTTATTGCTTTCTGAATCCCATTTAGTTGTCTGTGTTCACTTGCATCTTACCAAATGTATTTAGGATGATTGATTTTAATTCTTTGTCAGACAGTGTGGAGCTCTCTATGTCTTTGGGTCAGTGATTAGAGCCTTATTAATTCTCTTGGGTACTGCCATATTTACTGGGTTCTTCCTTGTGCTGATGCCTGTACTTTGAAAGAGAAAATACCTTTTCCAGTCTTTATAAATTCTTTTTGGAAGGTGATGACTTCTCTTGTTGAGTCCTCATGCTGATGGGATTGCCTTTGGGATTTTAGGTGAGTGGAATTAGAACCAGGTCCTGTAGCTCTATTGAGACTGTAGTGGGTCTGTGATTGGTGGACCATCTTCCACATACTCAGATGAGTGTGGCTCCTTCTGGATTCCACTGAGTCACTGGTTTTGGGAAACTGTATGTTCACAGATGAGATCAGGGTCTGTAGCCTTCTTTTAGGCCTGCCATCAGGTGATGGAGGTACATGCCAGGACTGCCCTGGATCCCAGTTGAACAAAGCTGAATATGTGGTACAGGGATACTTCAAAATCTACTGTTTGACCAACATTGGGCAGGCTTGCCTGTGGGAGCACTGAGGAATGTCTCTTGGAAGGTAAATGGGGAGGCAGAACTTTTATCAAAATGCAGGTAAGAAGGTCTAGAACTGAGTTACAAGGCTGTTTTAGAGCCTTGTGCTCAACGTTGGTCGGCAAGTCTGTTGTGATGTATCCCTGGATAGGCAGGACTACTCACAGACTTTAGCTAGAAGACATTTGAGCCAAATTATAAGGTTGTTTCAGGGTCTACAGCTGGAACAGAGGTCAACACACCTTTTATCTGTGGTCCAGGTAGCACAACTTCTTCCAGGTCCTTGCAGATGTTTGTGGTGGTAAGACCAAGGCAAAATGAGGTTGTAGTTGAGTTTATTTGTAGCCAAGTCCACTTCCATGTTTTTAGCTGGGACCACAGCTGTAAGCCAGCTAAGTCGGTGTCAGTATGCTCTCTAAAGATGATCCTCTGCCAGGGTTTCATGACTTCCTACCTGAATTTCAGGGATCCCAGAAAAGCACTTTAATCCATGGATGTTTGCTAAGTTATTGTTGCTGTGGTTGGTTGTAAGCAAGTGGCCACACATGCTGCCATCTTGCTGACATCACTTCATTTTCTTGATAGATTGCTGATAAAGCTCCATAGACATTGATTGGCTATTGTGAGTAGTGGAGGGCATGATGTTTGAGGTAAAATCCAAAGAGTGAGTTGAAATCATCAGATGTCAATGCAAGGAAGGAAGTCCATGGTAGATTGTGTGTAAGAGGCAAGCAGAAGAGAGTATTGGCTTCCCAAGAATTGTAAATGTAATTTGGGAGGAAGTTTGTGGGTGAATATAAATTGGCAGAGATGGGCTGCATAAGTAAGAAGTGCTCTTCTTTCTCTTGGCAAGAAAATCCTTTTCTAATATAGATCATTAAAGATTTTTAAAAAGAAGGGCCAGAGTCAGAGTGAATTTCTCTTTTGCTTTTCATTAGGGTAATTATCCTATTTCCTTTAGGCAAGTCTTGTCTTCTGTCATTCCCTGGACTCACAAGGTGGAGCTTTTGCTTTGCCCTCTCCTTACTTCTACAGTATATTTCCCTTTCTAGCAAATTGAGAAGCCCCATGCCAAGACTCAATTTCCAATAAGAAATTTATTTTTCTCAAAGGATCACACTTGGAGGAGAGGAGCATTATATTAAAAAGAATGGATATATTTTCTCATCTTGAAACATACTTATGAGCCTCAAGAGGCACAATAGAAATTCCCTTGCAGAAAACGACAGAAACGAGGCAGAATGAGGACTCTCTTCTTCTCTGCAGGTAACCTCATTAATGTGTTATCTGTGGAATAGAGTCAGGTTGAGATTTTGTCTTAAATACTTTTCTTCCAATGAGTTTTATTTCATTACATGGTTCATTTAGGACTTTCTAGCTCCACCCAGAGAGATTCTTAGGACACTATGTTTTATGGAGTCAGAGTAAGGTAGTCACTATCTCTATACAAACACAGCTAAATGTGACAGACCTTTTCAAATCCTATGATTGTGGCTTAAGTTTTGGATGTACTTCATGCAGGAAGGACCTCAGTAACTGAGAAGATATCAGTTATCTGATATCTTCAGTCAGCAGTGCCTTATTTTGTAAGTCTAGTTTTAGGAATTTGTCAGTGTGCTCAGAAGGACAAGATATAGGTTATAGAGTTGGGTTAAATAGTCCTAATTTGAATTTTAATTGTGTTAGTCATTATCTGCATGTTCTTGAAAAAATACTTTATCTGAGCTTCAGATTTTTTAACTCTAAAATGGGAATAATTCTTCAAATTAATTTCTGCTATGTAGTACTTACTATGTACCTGCTTCTTTTCTAAGTACTTTGTAAGTATCAACTCATTTAATTCTCACAAGAAAGGCATGAGATAGTGCTGTTTTCATTCTATGGATACAGAGACAGAGGCATCAGAAGTGAAGTCTCTTTGCTAAGCTTGCAGGATGTATAGGGCAAGTGTCAGAGGGGATGCCTGGCTCACACCTATGTTGTGCTCTTAACTGCTGTGATCTCAATTATACCAGTTCAGAGGATTTTATGCAGATGGACTAATAAATAAATAAATATTTCCACTCTTCATTTATTACCTAACCAAAAGTGTGCAGCTAACTGATATGAGAGGGCTTACAGAATATGAACCATTGCTTCCTAGGATAGCTGAACACTTTGCTGATATGTACTCTGGATGCTTCTTCCTCTTCAGGAGATGAGAAGGTTATTTCCTTACCAAACAAGAATTTAGGGTCAAGATGAAAGTGTCTTCACTTTCTCCTCCTTCCCCTTCTCCTCCTTCTTCTAAGTAGGCATACCAGCCCATTCTGCATTGGTGATTTGTGAGAAAGGGTCTTGTTTATGCCTAGGCTGACCTGGACTGTGATCCTCATATTTGTGCTGTGGAAGGCACCCAGCTATTGGTTGAGATAGGTTCTCAAGAACCTTTTGCCCAGTCTGACCTCAAACCATTATCCTCCTAATCTCTGTCTTCCAAGAAGTTGGGTTATAGGTCTGAGCCACAGTGCCTGTCCCAGAAATCAGTGAACTTTTACATAGGGTGCTAGAGAGAGGGATAGGTGTTATTCTAGATGGTGTGATGGTAGGACATAGATGCGTTATATCTTAGGAGTTTTCTAGACATGTGGTGAACATACTTTCTTCATCTGGCAGTCCCTTCTTTGTGTGGTCTGTTAAATGGAATGAACATAGGAAAAACAATATAATTTAGGATAGCTCTTAAAATATAAAATGTCAATTCTTGAAACTTGATGTATAAGTGCAGAAGCCTTCCAATTTAGGTACTGACTTATCTGGAATAGGTTAACTCTGAAAAAAAATTAAAAACCTCAGTGGCTTCCTACAAGTCCACAGAGGGTACCTGCAGCTTGGTCTGATATAGGATGCTTCTGGATGCACAGGAGACAGCTTCTCCTGTGTATGGCTCTGCACTCCTGGGTACTCAGAGGAGAAGGATGATAGAGAATTGTGTGTGGGATATTGTAGGCCAACCAAGGCTATCAGTTACCTACACCATTCTGCTTACATTTCATTCACCAGGACTCAGTCACATGCCTCAATCTAAGATTGACAGGGGCTGGGAAATGTAACCTAGCTGTGCCAAGCACAGAAAAAGAAACGGTTCAGAAGACAAATAATTAGTATGCCACAGGGAGCCAAGTTAAGTAATCAGGAAACAAAAGGTTAGCTTACCTTCTCTGGTAGGTCATATTTTCCCCTAATTATCTATTCCTCATTTCCCTCTGAGAGATTAGACATCCCTCCCCATTCTATATAACTTGGGATTCTCCCCTTGGAAAGGATTACTTCCTCTCTCTGTACAAATTGAGTGTGGCTAGGCTGTTTGCTTTGGCCAATGAGATGCAAATTATACCACCTTCTGGCAAAAGCTTAAAGGGCCATTGAGGTTTTGGCTCTTGATCAATTCTCTGTGCCATGAGAACAGTATGTCCCAAACAAAGCTTTTTCTTCAACCTGTGTCCAGGAATATGAAGAAGTAGAGTTGAGTAGAGTAGATTGGAGCTGCCACAGCAGCTATAGCTAAACAGCTTCCATTATGCAACAGAACAAGAAATTGATGTTTGTTATTAAAAGCCATTGACAATTTGGAGGCATTTCTTACATAAGCAAAGCTGACTAAAAATTTCTTCCTTGGCCTATGTGTAATTGCATTAGAGTAAGATCATAAAAGAGTTGGAGCATAACTGATGAATGCGAGGCACAAAATGAAGAGCTTTCTTTCTTAGAGCTGACTCACAACTGATGGTAATTTGAATAGCATCATTGGAGCTATGATTAAGACCTTTCCTTACTCTCCAACATTTGATCAACTACCCATGTTGTTTACCTTCTGCTTTTAACTATAATGTATTTGATAGTAATAATGTCACTAAATTGTTAGGAAATAAACATGCTGCTGATCTGTACAAACAGTCATTAATAGCACACCAGTAGAGGAACATGAAAAGGCCTGAGAGAAGGAAATGATTAGACGCAATCTCCCAATAACTTTGATGCCTCGGAATATGGAAAGCAAAATTTTAGCAAGTAGAACACAAAATAGGTGTGTTTCAATAGAGGATGAAGAGTAGGGCATGTCAGGCCTCTGTGAATGGGTGACAACTCTAAGGATTGCTGGGCAGGGACTGACACAAGGTCAAGTGGGTCCCAGATTGGGACAGTGAGTAAGTTAAAAAGCTACATGGAGTATCAAAGGAGTACCTTCTCCAGAGTTGCCCTATTTTCTATTGTTGAAGACTTCTAAAAATTGTTTGAATTTACACAGTAATAAAACTTGTTCAAAAGTACAGTAAATTCATTGGCTATGGGTTTTGTAAGTGCAATCATACTGAAGACATGCATAAGATTTGTCACTGTTAATAACTTTCTTTAAAAGTCATAGTAAGTCAATGTTTCTCTGGACCATTTGCTTATTAAAATTTTGTTGGTTAATAGAGTTACCTGTTGGGGATTGGACACAGATGGAGCACAAATTAGGTTGAGCACTAGGTCATCTTAATAACATGGCACTTAGTTTGAATGGACGCTGTTCTGATGTTGGGTGGATTTTAGGTTAGACTCTGTGGGATGTAAGAGATAGGATTCTTTTAGTGGTTGCAAATAATAGAAAATCCAACTTAAAATGATTTAAACATTAAAGAGAATGTGTTGGCCATGCCCCTGACAGCACTGGAGCCAGGTCAGGTTTCAGGCTTGGTTTAATGCAGAGGCTTTGGCCCAATTTCTCTGTAATTATCTCAGCTCTGCCTTTTATCATGTGTCTGCTGCAATTGCAGACTGGTATCATTCAGGCTTGCAGCATGACTGTCAGCAATGGTCAGGACTCCAGACTTCTTTGATATTCAGAGGGAAGAAGGCTATTGCTTCCCATTCTTATCTAAGAAAATTCTTGAACTTTGATTATTTCACCTTGAACCTATTGCTTGTGTGCCAATTGGCTTTTGCTCACTTTTAAAGCATCCACCATGATAAAATGGATTTGTATTCCTTAACAAAGCCAGCCAAACAAGTTGGCTACTATATAATGAGGGCAGGATAATTTCTCAAAGAGACATTCTCAGGCAGAGAGCAGAGTCGGGATGGGGCCTGGGCAAGCAACTGCTGAAAATCTTGTATGCGTGATAGTGTCTCTAACACTAATTAAACTTTCAGGTTGGTTAATGGTAGTAGAACAACCCAGGTTTTCAGAAACTAGTGGATTTGCTTTGGGGCCTCAATTATGCCATACACTACTCATATGTAAGCAGGTAAGTTTTTTGACTCATGAACTTCAATTTTCTTATCTGTGAAAAACAAATAATTGATATTTTCTTGCTCCTGGACAGCGGTATTTTCCAGATGCACCACTGATTAATAAACAGTAGAGAAAAGATTCTGTACTTAACAATTGCCAAATGCATTCCAATTTCAGAAGAGGCAAAGCATGTTTTTAACAATGGGAAATTCCAGATCTGAGGAGAGGATGGCTGATACTGAGGTTTCTTTAGAATCCTGACTGGCCAATGTGACATAGACTAGCGAGAAAACTCTGCAGTATTACCTATCTTACTTGGGTGTGGTTAGTTATTTTGATGAGGGATTCAGTCCTTCATTTTCCCCAAACTGGAAATGATTCCTTGAGCTAACACTTCTGTGTCCTATAAAGGGTCCTGATTGGATGAGGTTGAATGTTTCTTCCCCCAATTTTAGAGTTATGAATGTTGGCACTGATCCCAGTCCCAGAACTAACCTGAATTTAAGTAGCATCTGAGACTTAGGGGGCAAATGTCAGAGTGACTGGGCGGATGGCCTTTTCCTTCTAAATTATGCTGAACATTGGCCCCTAGACCTATGGAAGCCAACTCACCTTTGTTTGGTTTGCAACATTGCTGGCACCAGGCAACTCACCTTTTAACAAACCGAGGTGGAGAACATGCAGTGTATCTGCCACTCTAATTTATACTTTAGAGGATTAGGATGAGCAGAAAGGCCATGGAAATGAACAAATTTATTCCCAGTTGCTCAATTACACTGTGTCTTTCAGAAAAGTAGATTTCTTGTTAGATTTTGAGTATTCACCCTCTTTCCTAGAAGAGTTCATATGCTGCCCATAAGAAAAGGAACATGAAAGTGGTTAATGCCCCAAAAGAATCTGTAAATTATCCTCAAAACAATTGTTTTTGAGAAATTTATAAGCCCAAAGACTGCTTAAAGACCACACTGTTCTAAGGAATTTGCCATTCTACTTATCACCAAAAGTTAAA